TCCACAACCTGGCAACTGGCGCGGGTAATCATGCCTGTCCACAACCTGGCAACTGGCGCGGGTAATGATGCCTGTCCACAACCTGGCAACTGGCGCGAGTAATGCCTTTCCACAACGTGGCAACTGGCGCGGGTAATGTTGCCTTTCCACAACCTGGCAACTGGCGCGGGTAATCATGCCTGTCCATAACCTGGCAACTGGCGCGGGTAATCATGCCTGTCCACAACCTGGCAACTGGCGCGGGTAATCATGCCTGTGTACAACCTGGCAACTGGCTCGGGTAATCATGCATGTTTACAACCTGGCAACTGGCGCGGGTAATCAAGCCTGTCCACAACCTGGCAACTGGCGCGGGTAATCATGCCTGTTAACAACCTGGTAACTGGCGTGGGTAATCATGCCTGTTTATAACCTGGCAACTGGCGCGGGTAATCATGCCTGTGTACAACCTGGCAACTGGCTCGGGTAATCATGCATGTTTACAACCTGGTAACTGGCGCGGGTAATCATGCATGTTTACAACCTGGTAACTGGCGCGGGTAATCATGCCTGCCCACAACTTGGCGATTGGCGCGGTAATCATGCATGTCCACAACCTGACAACTGGCGCGGGTAATCATGCATGTCCACAACCTGCGATCCACAACAGCAGGTAACATTGCGTGTGCTGACACCCTTCCATGCCGTCACTAAAAGGCTGTTCTGGTCATTCGTCTACCTCGGCGTTTTGTTCCAGAAATTTGTGTTACGAGCCGATCCGTTTTACATATCCGTCTTTTTATATGCAGACTGGTTCGTTGCCTTTCTGCACTCCTGACAACCTGAACTTTTCACTAGTTTATAACGCGTTGACTTTTCGATGTGGCTTCTCACGAATTCTCGCGGTTTCTTTCTAAATCTCCTTCCTCCTCCGTCGTAAAAGGGGACTAATAATGGATTGTCCTTGGTGTACCAAGTCTTAACACAAGTAAGCCACACATGTAAAACGGATGGGCACGCAGAATTGTTTTTGGAACGTTGTTCAGGAGTAGACGAACAGCCAGAACTTTCTGACAGAGTTTACAACATCCAATGAAGGCGAAGTAAGAAGAAATGCGATCCTTTTATTTTCAATTTCTAACGTTTCACGTTAACTTGGAGACCTTTAGGATTATATAATACCTGATTTTGCAAACATGTTTTATCTATTTAAAAGTATTAATTTTTCTTTGATTAGCACATTTAAAACAGTTTGTGCCTCAGGGCTTTATGAGGCTTAGGGTCTCATGTAGTCTCAATCCGGCTTTGCATGAGGTATTCACCGATTTATATTGTTACCGGTCTGCTACTTTTGTTTCTTGTATGTCATGTCCTTTACATTCCTTCATTACCTGTTGTTCTGCTGTCCCTTTTCCGTTTTCATTCATTATCCTCAGGGCATCCGTATCTCTTTTTCCCCATATGCCGTCCATATTACTATATCTATATATATATATATATATATATATATATATATATATAAAATAGTCGCCGGCAAATAACTATGCTTCAATGTTATTTGGACCCGTTCGGATAGACATGCTACGATTTAGCTAACACCTTAGGTTAGAATAAGCCAAATTCTTGGTTTCAGAAATGTGGTTTTACAGAACGCTTAGTGTCATGGGAAGCCAGATTGAGTAGCTCAGATGTTTCTAAAAGAGGCGAGGGCACGAAGGTCACTTATCACAGGAGACAGTCAACATTCTTTGGCAAGTTTTCAGAAGAGGCAAACCTGGACATGGTGTGATGACTTGAAAGATTAGTAGAGAGAGACAGGTGAGGGCAGCATGAGATTCTCGACAGCCTCATGTCATGGCATGCAAGAATCATTGGCACCTTTCCGTCTTTCCCCACGATAGTGTGATATTGCGCTATGAGGAGGCATGAGACTCACAGCCCATGGCGATGGCGATTGTGACTATCAAGATCTGCCAGTGTCAAAAATGCAAGAATGCCATCTCATAAATTGACGCACATGGTTGGAGATCGCAGTTTGTGTACGGCGATCATACGTCATGTTTTTCACCTGGACAGTCTGGGAAGTTTTTCATTGTGTACCGGCCGTTCCGTCGGTTTGCAAAAATTGTCCCGTTTATAATGAAATGTTATGGTCGGCGTCTGTGGCTTAGGCGTTATGAACGCGTTTTGTAATGCCGGGTTCGATCCTAACTGCAGGACTTGCGTTGGTTTCGACAGTGGTATATAGAAGCCGACCGTTTAGAAAGCACTGGCAAACTACTGGACGTAAATTTTTGCCTAGGAAAACCACAACAGCCAAAAAATGATGGGGTTGGTTCTGCAACGTCCTGTAAAGGATACGCAAACCGACTGTATGGACATTTTCTTTGTAGTATATATTTTCAGTGTAGTTGATGAGCATTTTGTTTCGCTGATTTCTTGGCGACATCTGTTTTGTTTCTAGTACTGTTGACCGAGCATTATTAACCCTTTCACCTGTGTGACCTAAAAAAAAAAAAAAAGGTTTGGGGTGGTTTGTTAAACTAAATGGTTAGGTGTCTCATTTCCCGCTCAAAATATGAGTGCAGTGTCCCATGTTCGGCTCGAGACAGTGGTCACCCTAAGTTGGCGAAGAAGCACTATTTGTTTCCAGGAGAGCTAACTCGAGACAGATTTCTTTAGGTCACAGCTAGCTCCGTCTCGTTTTTGCTTTGTCTTTATTCTTATGACTGTGTGGGTTCCCGTGCAAGTACATTTCACCTTGTTTTTTCAGTGTGCGTTTAATCTGTTCATTTCCTAGCATTTGATTTATCGTATATCCATTATTCACGACCACGCCATCTTAAGCTGTTATTTATTCATTAGGTTAAACATTAACTTTAAATACATTTCCATCAGTATTCATGACGTTGATCTTTGTAAATAGTTTACAAACATGTTAGGTTTTATGATGGCAAAGATTAGTTTAGTTTAAAAAAAAAAAAAGTATTTTGTCCTGTCTTCTGTTCTCGCTTTCATCTCCTATCTAAATGCACATTGTTATGTGAAAACATGCTATACACACTAGATTATAATGGCTGTGAAAGTTTGGGAAGGCCCAGTTTATGATCCTTTGATAATAAAGTTCGTTGGTTCCTTTCTCTCTCTCTCTCTCTCTCTCTCTCTCTCTCTCTCTCTCTCTCTCTCTCTCTCTCTCTCTATATATATATATATATATATATATATATATATATATATATATATATATATAATTGCAGAATGAATTTAGTTAAATTTACATATATGGAGATTTGAACAAAGGTGCATACCACAGTAATAATGACATAAATGAAGCAAATAAGTAATCCTTTTAAAATAGAGTACAATTTCAACAACAATCAAAGCTCCGTTTTTACCAGGGCAGCCGTAAAGACAGAACCATACCTGACAAGATACAGCGAAATATGCCAGACAATAAATTGAGCAATCTGTGTCTTCTTTGTTCAAATTTACAGCGCGGAAACATTGCTTTGATATATGGAGATTGCGTATATAGTACAAGTATGAAACTGGGACATAATTTGGTTGTCTTGGCTTGGGTTCTTCCTAATTGACCCAATTCCACGTAATACCTGCGTAAGGACGAAAGTCTGCCCATCAGCTATTTTCGTGTTCGGGAAATGTTGCAAAGGTCAATGTATTGTTTCTTCCTAGCACTGTCCCGGTTGTGCCATTTCATATTCGTGTTAGGAGTATTATACTGCATACACTTGTTTGTTGTGCCATTTTGCTTTTTCTCATAATTCAAGACCTGTGTACTGGTAAATTTCGGTAAATTTCTTTCTTCTTTGGTCGGCGTCTGTGGCTTAATCGTTGCGAACGAGCTTCGTAATGCCGGGATGCCGGGTTCTACCCTAGCTTCGGGCCATACACCTTACGTTGGTTTTAACAGTGGTATCGAGAAACCGACCGTCCGGAAGCAATGGCAAGCCACTGGACGTAAATTTGCCTAGAAAAACAACAGCAAAAAAATGCTGGGGTTGGTTCTGCAACGTCCTGTAAAGGATACGCAAGTAACTTCTTCTGTCATTTCCTTCGTTAATTTCCCTATAAACCATAGGAGGTGCTAATGTTGGCCGTCAGTCGGGGCACACTTGTTCGTACATCGCGGCGCTGTCGTTTGGAAGCATGTTATATTTCAACCGCTTGTGGGTAGCTAGTTGTACATTGATGTGGTGTATACAGAGTCTTTACTTCTGGCCTCCACATTTATGGCAATACGTTAATATATGTCAGTTTGTTTCTCTGCTGTTTCAGTGACCTCAGGGGTTATCCAAAGGGTGCGATAAACGGACTAGCGTGCCCAGTTCTTAACCTTTTGAATAGTCTGTTGCTTGGCCCCAGTGCTTTATTTCTGCAATACAACGCTCGAAGTTAAAGTGCTTTATTTAGGTGGTATTCTGTTTAATCTTGCTTGCGAAACAGCGTTAACCGGACATTTCCCTTTCTTTTAGATAAAGTAAATGTTTTTATTACATTGTGTAAAATTACTACTTTCTAGTTTTCCCCCTCCCATTGTTCTACCAATGGTAAAACTAGTTAACATTTTTTTAAAATTTTGATTCTTCTCTCGGTCTCTCTCTGTCTGCCTCTCTTTGTCTCTGTGTCTCTCTCTCTCTGTCTCCTCTCTCTGTGTCTCTTTCTCTGTCTCTGTCTGCCTCTCTCTCCGTCTTTCTCTCTCTGTGTCTCTTTCTCTGTCTCTGTCTGCCTCTCTCTCCGTCTTTCTCTCTCTGTGTCACTTTGTCTATGTCTCTTTATCTGACTCTTTCTTCTAATCTTCTGTGAAACGTAAGAAAACAACCAGAAGGCAGGAAAAGATAGCTGACAGTATTCACATCTTTCTTCAGCACAGTAGCATTCACACGTAATTTGTTGGCTTTGTGGTTGTTGTAGCTGCAGCAGGTTTCACGAAAATCCTTTGCCAGTTATGTTAAAGAAAAGCAACAGTGAGTAACTTGTTTTTCCCTGATGTCTGTCAACAGGTAAACATGAGAGTTGGCATCCACACCGGCACAGTTCTGTGTGGTATTGTGGGTACAGTCCGTTTCAAGTTCGACGTGTGGTCCAATGATGTGACACTGGCCAACATCATGGAGTCAACAGGTCAGCCTGGGATGGTGCACATTTCTGAGGCCACTCGAGAGTTTCTAGTCAACGATTACGAAATGGTCGAGGGTGAGGAGGTGCCAGGTAGGATGCCTGTTTGTGTGTGTTTGAATTTTTCGTTATCGCCTGTAGGTTTGCATGCTGCTTGAAGCTACACGTTTCGTTATGTAACTTAAATCTGTATTTTTTTTCTGCACCTGTATATTCAGAAATAAGTATGCATAACTACCTGCCATTATCCGTATGTTTAAGAAAATGTCTAGTTTATAGCTTAACCGAGTCACCTTTTCATTTAAGCAAAAGGGCTGTATTGTGAGAAGTGGGCTTAGCACTGTTGCACGTATTCGCTTGTCTTTTAGTCTAATAGAGATGCTGCCAGACTAGTTTGGACATGCAATGCCGTTTATGAACGCATTTACGGTATTTATCATGGAATCAAGGCCGAAAGGTTGCAATATCCATAGAAGCGAGCCAAAGGGTTAAGAATTCAGTTTCTGGATATACAAGCGCGGGTCATTGGCCATAAGCCAATGTTCTGACTACTAGACTGCTAGTGGCTTTGGTATTGTCTGTTTCCGTGTCATATGATATGCCTAGGAATATTTTGTTCCTGCCTTTCCTCTACGAAAGAACACGTAAGCTGTGTAGATTTCACGATTGGTTGCAGTTGTTAGCAAACATTTCTACGAGATCTGGTAGTCAATTTCACACAAACATGCCTTGATCGCTTCTTGCGACATGCATGGTAGGCTAATAAGTGAGATGCAGTCTTGATCGCGAAGATTGGCTGCAGTGGATCTCTAACAGCAGTTTCTTGACTTGGTTGTACACGCTCTTGAACTGCTGGTCGATCCTCTCTTGACGTTATCTCCCACACTTAAAGGGCAAGAGAGCAAAAGGTAGACAAGTGGGGTTTTTGAAAGTCTTTCATTTTGCCCTAAATATTAGCTTGTCTATTTCTTTCATATCTCTCTCTCTCTCTCTCTCTCTCTCTCTCTCTCTCTCTCTCTCTCTCTCTCTCTCTCTCTCTCTCCCCCCTCCCAATTCCTGGTCTTTTTAGTACCTCTGTATTGCATCCATAAGTCCCGATAACAAACGGGATAGGGGGTATATTGTACTGCGTCCTTCTGTGTAGGTTTAGGTTAAGCGGTACTTAATGTTATCACATTGGCCGCTTCAGATTATCAGATAATTGTCTGCTGCCCATTTGATGTCTGATCCAGCTCGGAGCCATGTTAAAGGCAAATGCCTAATAAGGGTAGAAATCTGAAACACTTATCCGCCAGACGAGTGTGCTACTTTCTGCGCGATCGCGACTCCCTTTGTACTTTAAAGTATATTGTTATAAATAATGGGCTGTTTAGTGTACATTGGTATGAATAAAGGGCTGTTTCGCGGGGAGCTGTATGACTCAAGCCCCACGTGCCACATGTCGTGTCCTGTGCTCATTTCATCCCGTTGTAGCACAACGTAGCAAAACACATTGCATCTCGTGATGGACGTTCATGATTTGATGAACATCTTGCACGCATTGTTGATGGCTATTTGAGTTCGAGAGCTGGGGTTTGTCTCTCCGTGACTGCCAAATAACGGCTTATAAACATAGATTTGCACTCATAAGTTAAAAACCAACACCGGTACATTCAAGTAAACGCCCCATCACCACCTTCAGCAGCCATCAGCGAGTTCCAGTTCTGATAGTACTAGTGGCATTCAGTTTGTATTTATTGTCCCCCCCCCCCCCCCCCCGAGTGTTGACTTTCCACCAGAAGACCTGGTCACCCCCTCTGTTTAGACCATAATAAGACATTTGACACTGTCATTTTCAGTGTAGGCGGGCGTCAAAAAGTTTGGAAATTGTATTTATATTGAAACTTTGAGAAAAAAGTAGGTATACTAGAGACAGTAACACGAAAAAGCCAAGGCTTTTTTGTATTAATTAGCAGTTTGTACATCTACCGTTAAAAATTATTTCGTAATAAAGGTTATTGTTAAAAGTGCTTTTTGTTTTGTCTTCTTTTAAATCATATTTTTCTCACCTTGGGACTGGGTGAGCACTTGCCACGTATTCAGGGGCGACTGTTGAAAGCACTGATTTATAAACACGTCATGCGTCGCTTGACTACAGCGCATAAGTACTTAAACCCAACATAGGTATTGAAACAATTCACCCCTGACCGTACCAGGGATCCAAGCCAGGATGATTTGTTCGTTCTTTTCAGGAAACCAAAAACTGACCTCGTTTCAACCTTGCCGAAGACAGCGTCGGTCATAATTATGGTCTGGTTTTATTTGCAGTAAGTTCAATAGCTTAAGCGTGTTGTATAAGTAGTTGGGGGCTTATTGTCCCTGTTTTTTCTTTTCCTAAACATGTCCGGATTCTGTTATGGTGCTGACCAGGCTATCGTTTTGCCTTTCCATCTTCCTGTCGGTGCTTCCTATTTTCAGGGTATAGATAATTACTTTGTTCTTTTTATCTCGTCGTCCCCCCCCCCCCCAGGTCATATAACTAAAATTTTTTTCCTCTCTGGTGTGTATCCCCTGTCGTCTGTCCCTCGAGTATAGGGATTTCGTTCATGGAGTATTGTATCCTGTCGTCTGTATCTCCAGGGTCGTGATTTTATTCCTGGTTGTATCCTGTCATCTGTCCCTCGAGTGTGGTTTTTCTCTTGGGTTGTATCTTGTCTGTCCCTCGATTGTGGTGATTTTTCTCTTGGGTTGTATCTTGTCTGTCCCTCGAGTGTGGTGATTTTTCTCTTGGGTTGTATCTTGTCTGTCCCTCGAGTGTGGTGATTTTTCTCTTGGGTTGTATCTTGTCTGTCCCTCGAGTGTGGTATTTTTCTCTTCGGTTGTATCTTGTCTGTCCCTCGAGTTTGGTGATTTTATTCCTGGGGTGTATCTTGTCTGTCCCTCGAGTTTGTTGATTTTTTTCCTGGGGTGTATCTTATCTGCCCCTCGAGTGTGGTGATTTTTCTCTTGGGTTGTATCTTGTCCGTCTTTCGAGTTTGGTGATTTTATTCCTGGGGTGTATCTTGTCTGTTCCTCGAGTGTGGTGATTTTTCTCTTGGGTTGGATCTTGTCTGTCCCTCGAGTGATTTTTCTCTTGGGTTGTATCCTGTCGTCTGTCCCTCGAGTGTGGTGATTTTTCTCTTGGGTTGTATCTTGTCTGTCCCTCGAGTGTGGTGATTTTATTCCTGGGGTGTATCTTGTCTGTCCCTCGAGTTTGGTGATTTTATTCCTGGGGTAATCTTGTCTGTCCCTCGAGTGTGATTTTATTCCTGGGGTGTATCTTCTCTGTCCCTCGAGTGTCGTGATTTTATTCCTGGGGTGTATTTTGTCTCTCCTTTGGATGTGGTGATTTTATATTTCTGGGGTATTGTATTCTGTCGTCTGTTCCTTGAGTGTGATTTTATATTCCTTGCTTATTGCATCCTGTCGTATCTACCTCAAGTGTGATTTTTTAAAATTTTTTATTCCTGGGCGTTGTGTCCTGTCGTCGTCTGTCCCTCTAGATCCTGGTGTCCTTGTTGGTTTGTCAGTAATATGGGTCAGTTTTGAGACGCCAGTCTGCACTGAGCCGGTGGCGCGTTTACTACGGCTGTGCCATGCCGATTACTTTAGCGGCAAACATCACCCTACCCCACCACACACACACACACACACACACACACACACACACACACACACACACACACACACACACACACACTCACACTCACACTCACACTCACACTCACACTCACACTCACACACACACACACACACACACACACACACACACACACACACACACACACACACACACACACACACACACACACACACACACTCTTACGTAGAAATGTATTCACAGAATTTTAACGTCTCTGCTTATGTAAAAACACCAAACATTTTACTAGCACATCGATAGATAGAAACATGAGAAAGCCTTTAGCGGAGCCTGTTATCATTTGTTTGCTTGTAACATTTCATGTCTAGTGTACCCTGGTGGTTCACTAACGTTACAGTATGCCGGACTTTTGCCAGGGAGAGATACTGTTCTCAGCACACTCATTCAATGCAACATTTGGTTACCATAAGTCCACTTAATTCGTTTAGTAACAGGCAAACACGTTAATTGGAAACGCTGAATATCGGCACATGTTTCAAAGCATTATATTCTTCCCTTTTTTGGCAGATGCTGCAAAGCATTATATTCTTCCCTTTTTTGGCAGATGCTGCAAAGCATTATATTCTTCCCTTTTTTGGCAGATGCTGGACAGTTTGACATTATGGTATTTAAGATCATCTGTTAGAATTGATTAAAAGTACAGTAGACAGAAGTGTGTCGAAATGGTTACCAGAGTCACACTGTGTGTACTGGTATAAGAATAGGAAATCAAGTCCTAGTGATTTAACTCCGAGCCTCAACATTTGTGTGTTTTGATATTGTTTACACTCACAGAGGTCAATGTTAAACACATAACAAATGTATAAAAGCGATCGAATTCTATTTTAACGCGTGCCTCACCAGCCTCCAAGGGCTTATGTAATAAATACACCGCATATTCATAGAACAAATGTTCTTGACGTAAGCAATAATTTTGTTTGTTGCGTGTTTTTGGCATTCGTAGGCATCATGTGTCGTATGTAGACAGAGCGGTGATGAAATCAGATGTCTGCACTTAAAACCCCGGGCTTTGGTTACCAGAATTATCATTTTTTGCTGACGTCGATGGCATCGTATCTTTATCGATTTCCATGTCTGTCCATGGGCATTCTGTATCCTAATCTGGGATGCTTTGCCAAGATTTCCGCCATTGAAAATTGTGGCCTCCGGACGCGCCTATAATAGTGTCAACCGCTGGCTGTTAATCTAGCCCTCTGTGCTGGCTCTTCAAAACATGGGTTTCAATATTTATAGGGGAGAGAGGGCGAGAGAACGAACTTCTGTGTGCATCGTGCTCTAGCTGTGTTTATGCAGACACGCCTGTATGAGACACGCGCAGGTCTATGTGAGAGCTCCTCTGTATCACTCACCTCTAAAAAGACTCTAAAAACAAAAAGGAATAGGCTGGCTGAAATGTACCTACTAACTACGGGAA